GCCGCCCATTCTACCACCCGCCCAGCACCCCAGTCTATCTTGGCCCCATGTTTTACCAGCCAGGGAAACCCCAATACCACCGAATGATGTGGAGATCGCATAACAAAAAACTGTATATCCTCTGTGTGATTGTCTATTGTCAGCGTGAGTGACGTGGTTTGTGTGGTAACTCGATGCAAGAATTTATCGTTAAGTGCGTGCACCAGAAGAGCCGGATCCACTATGCAGGTAGGTATATCATGTGCCTGGATAAACGCAGGATCCATAAAACATGCGTCTGAACCCGAATCAATAAACACAGGTGTAGTAATGTCATAAGAATGGAAAGATAAAACAGCCTGTACCGTGGGATGAGAGGTCGACTTAGCTGTAGTGTAGCGGCTCAGCAGCGGCCTCCTCTTTGCTGAGCCCTGTTCTTTTACCGGACATGCGAAGGCACGATGTCCTGGACCTCCGCAGTACAAACATAGATTCTGCCGAAAACGCCGTTCTCGTTCTTCGGGTGTTAATCTCGTTTTCCCGAGCTGCATGGGCTCAGGGGTGTCTGATGCGGCGCTGGGACCGGCATGAGATGATTCCCGGTGGCGTTCCTGCTGGCGTTCCCGGTATCTCCCTTCCAGGCGAGTGACTAAATCCATGAGGGGACGCAGTCTCTTAGGGCGATCGTAGACAGTCAGGGCATCTTTTAGGCGAGCCGATAGACCACGGTAAAAGGCGTCCACCAGCGCTGGTTCGTTGAACTCGCTGACAGCAGCGGCAGTGCGGAAGGCAATGATATAATCCACAGCTGACTGGGACCCTTGTGATAACGACATGACCGAGGGTGAAGCAGCCGAGTCGTAGCATGGCGGATCGAACACCCTGGTGAGCTCCGCAGCAAAATCTCCAAAAGTGTCGCAGCAGGCCGTCCTGGCTGTCCATTCCGCCGTTGCCCATTGTCTGGCTTTTCCTGTTAGCAGGGACAAGGTATAGGCCACCTTGGCTCGATCGGTGGGAAATGCTGATGGTTGCATCTCAAACAGGATCTCGCACTGGGTGAGAAACGCCCTGCTCTCCCCGCTCTCTCCTCCATATCGTTCTGGCGGAGCCAATCTGGGCTCGTGTGCTGCCGAAACCGAGGCCACAGCCACCCCGGCCACGGCTTGATCGCCTCTTGCCTGACGTAACTGGTGGAGGTCTGTCATCACCTGCCCCAGGGCAGCTCCCTGGTGGGCTAGAGCCTGCTCCATACGAACCTTCCAGTCCGGCTCTTGCTCGCTGGTTGAGTCCATACTTTTGGCCAGATTGTACTGTCAGGTTTGCCGTGTGAGAACGACAAATGGTGTTTAGTGGTGGACTCAATTATAGAACCAGACGAATAAAGTAACAGGTCTTTACTAATAACAACAAGGAAAACAATACAAAGTCCGAGAGGCTAAATCAGGTCCATAAGACAATCCAGGGTCGGCGCCGGTAGACAGGAGTATCCAGGAGATCCAAAACGCGGGTAGTCAGGGGAAATAGCTCAGAGGTCGGAACACTGCAGGCAATCAGACTGGAAGGACATAGGCAAAACACGGTGGTCAGAAAAAACGGTATCAGAGGTCAGAAACGGGGAATTCAGGCAAGGTAAGAATGCTGGAAAGTCAGAGCGGGGGTCTAGAACAATCTGGCAGCGTCCTAATGGGAGGACGCTGCCTAAATAGAGGTGAACACAGGTGCAGGATAATGAGGCGCAGGTGAAACTAATCTGAGTGAGGAGAAAAGGAAAAAAAAACCAATGCTATGGAAAAAAACAAAAACAGGAAGTAGAGTAAAAATAAAAGTCTGACAGGAAACAGCGGAGTAGAATCGTGACAATAAATTTTAAATATCAGATGCGTCATCAACAAAACAAACCACACTGGAGCATGATCTTAATGAGTGAATGGCTACCAAGCAGTATTGTTTTGTCATCTTTACTTCTAAGATTCATGAGCCCCATAAAGCTCCCTATTACACACAGTGACCCACAGGGTTTGTGCAGTTCACATCAATTATTGACTAGTTTGTGGGAAAACTTCTAAAAAGTAAAAGTAAAAACAATGACACTCAAAAGCAGCACTAAAACTGCCAACCTCGCCCAGCACGTCACATTTCAACCAGGCGCCTTGAAGCCAGTGAGCATGAATAAGCTGACAGGTGTGGCCGTCATTCATTTCCTGAGACACCCTGCATTGATCATGGCAGCCAATGGATGTCCACCTTTACCTCTGGAACAACCAATCATATCTTCTCTCCTGAGTCACAGACTGGGGGCCAGTGGGCTTCGAAAGAGCCAAGCATCAATAAAGTCATGAAGGAGCCTCCGGGTGAATGCGTTTAGTGGTGATTAATGATATGCCCTCTTAATGGGGCACTGACACACTATTGGCTGAGCGTCAGACAGGAAATCACCAATCACTGCACAGGAGTGGTTTCTAATCAATTTATTTAATATATTCCAAGTACCTCTCATGTTATTTTTATTATCCTCTAATACTTTAGAGTAATATACTGTAGTTTCTTACATCTCCTCAAAATCTCAGTTAATTTGTTCTTATATGACTTATATTTTTCTTCCGCCTTCTTTGATCTGTACTTTATGAATTCCTTATATAACACATTCTTCTTTTTACATGCATTCTGTAATCCCTTACTCATCCACGGTTTCCCACTGTAATTCCTCTTGTTTTTATACTGCTTACGAGGACAGTTCCTGTCATATACTTTCTTAAATATATTTAAAAATTGCTCATATGCTTTATCTAAGTCTTCCTCTCTGTAAACTGATTCCCAGTTTTGCCCCATAAAATCCTCTTTTAGCCTCCTTACAGCATGTTCATTCGTCACCCTCCTATAGAAAAGATTTGTTTTTGGCCTCTCTTTTCTATACTGGCCCTCATAAACCACAAATACTGGTAGATGATCACTAATATCATTTATAAGTAATCCACTTGTCATTTTGCTGTCAATAACATTGGTAAGTATATTATCTATTAGTGTTGCATGCTGGGTTGTTACTCTACTTGGGTTTGTAATTTTTGGGTATAAACTGCATCTATATATTGTGTTAATAAACTCCTCAGTTCCTGTGTGCTAATTGCATGAGCATACGGCAGACAACTTCAATCCCTCCCACTTTCAGCTTCCCAGGTTTTATGGTAAATAATTGATACTCAACCCTGTCAGCAGCATACAAGTTCAATAATTTAGTAGTTTCATCTGCACAGTCCTGCCATTGCAGTTACTCTGTATTCTGCTGTACAAATGCTTAAGTCAAACCAATGTCAAGTGTTTGTTTGCCCATCTGAAATAATGGCTGCTCTGGCTCATGATGAAACGTGTTGCATATGTTGCTGCCAATAGTCTAACTGTTGCTGGCTTGGATTTTCCCCTTCACATCTGGTCGACTTTTTTTTTTGTCTCAGATCTTTAAATGTTTGGGCTAGACAGGTGTACAACAGTGCAGAGTTTTTGAACACCAAGCGGAGGCGCTAGAACACAGCAATCGTCTCTGACTTTGGGATTCAAAGTAGTTAGTGTACTTGACAGACTGGGAAGAGCTCTTAAATGTTTATTCCTTGCTCTTGTCTGACAGTGATATTTGAGAAACACTGCTGCTCGGGGGACGAGACTGCGAGGAGCTGTGTCAAGGGGTGCCGCTTCAGAGGCAAAGTCCTGCTCTCACTCGGGGGCGGCTGGGACAAATATCAGCCCCATACATCACTCCCGACAGTCACACCTAAGAACCTTCATCCTCTAACTATCACTTGGGTGACTGGGGTTCCAGGTCCTGACAAACTGCCGCCTGGCTTGTCTCATCTAGCTTTATACTCCTTGACCTTCTTTCTCCTACTCTCTCCATCCCTCTCCCTGCTCTCTCCTCCTCTGTTTGGCTGTGCGGGGATGGCTGTGAGGCCCATGTGATGCTAATTGAAGTGTGGGCTTTAGAGGCCTGTGAGGCAGGCGCCATAATCGCGCGTCCTATCAGACTGAGCCCACACTTTCTAGCTAACAAGAAATTCACAGCTGTCTCTTGGAATTCAGAGAGGTTATGAAATAAAACCAGAGGTCATCATCTGGTACCAGTTTTAATGTGAATGTACTGCTGGGAATTACCGTTTTGAAGAAGAGCCAGAGGAATTCTTGAATCCTATTTAGAGTAATTGGTTATTTGAATGGTAATTACTGTCAGGAGAAGACCAAAAAATCATATCTGCACTATCCCACAGCAAGAAAATATTCTTATATCATTCTTTTGATAAGGCAGTTTTAGCTATCAGATTGCAGACTGTGCATGAATTGTGGGGCTTGTAGCTCAGTGCTGCTGCCTGACAGAGGTAGAGAAAGGCAATCAACATTACTCTGCACTGTCCTCTCAGCCCTGCTGGTCCTACATGATTCAGAAAAGCCCTCGGTACTTTAATAAATGGAAGAGGCTTGTATGGCGTTTTCTAGTTTCACGCAATCACATTTCTCTCAAAACTGTTCAAGTAAAATTCATGGCAAGGTTTTATGGATGCCTATACATATGGGCAACATTCAGTGAGTTTTGTTCTTTAGTTCAAATGATCAATAAATCTTTTAAAAGCACATGCCGGCCAAATTCCATGATTTTGACAAGTTTCAAACCAAACCTTGTGTGTACCAGCTGTTAGCTGTTTTGATACAGAGCAGGTCCGAGAGCTGATAGAAGTCACTGCTCTGTCTTACCTTCCTCGGCCCACCTGTTTTCATCTCATACACATCTATGGTGTAGTTCGTTCTGCGGCCATAGTTGTCAAACTGGATATTTCCGGTCATTCCCTGCACTTGGACCTGCCATGAGAGACAGAAAGTCTCAGAGAAAGGTGGAATAGCCATCAATTTACATATATAGCTGGTATTAAGGTGCTTGTGTTCATGGAGTTACTGGAGTGTGCACAGTCTGTTAATCAAATGATGAACTGGATACGCTTTAATAAAAGATGTAGTTTTATGGTAATGAGGGCCTGGATTTCATTGAGCTCTGTGCAGAGATATCTGGAGGCAGAGGAAGGAGAGCAGCTCTGCTTTCGCTCTCCTTCTCTCTGTCACTTTCCATCTTTATCACACTCTCACTAGCTATCTCTGCTTCACTTGGTTTAGCCTTTTCTTTACTTATCAGCTTGCCGCTGTCTCTCTCTCTCCCTCCCTCTCTCTGTCCCCGCCCCCCGGTTACCGTTTTGAGGGCTCTCTCAATGTCGATGCCTTGGCTCCAAGGTACAGCGGGATTGGCTAGACAATCTCCGGCGCTGCCCCGGCGAGAGACATCCACACGTTGGCGGCGCAGGTACCTGAAGGCCTCTGCTATTACCAGGATGGCATCATGGGTCAGCGCTGAAGTGTACTGTGTAAAATTTAAATGAACAAATCAACAGAACACACAGTGAAACAGGAAGAGAAGGTATGAACACTGTTTTTATAGTAAAGCTTTCAGCAGCCCTGTGATAAAGCTACATATATTACTTTATACTATGTAGTTGTCATTTGCCCTGCATGTCAGCACATGCTTTGCAAAAGTAAATAGTTTAGAACTACTATGGATAGGAACTTAATATGAAAGTATGGTCTTTTCAAGTTGCTTTCAGCCCATGCATCTCAGAGCCCAGGGTGGGTCAGTGGGAGTGCAAGTTCTGACCCTGCTTATGAGAAATATATTTTGATTAGAAGAACTAAGACATGTCTGAAGGTCAGGGCCTCTTTCAAAACTTTTAGTGCAGATTTGGGGAGAAACTCAAGCATTAATGTGTGGTTTTATCTCCCATGCACTTCGACTCCAACTTTGACCTTTTTCACCACTGAGGGCTGAGCCACTTTTTTGTTGTCTGCTGCGCCATGACAAAAATCTAATTAAATGCAATTCAAATTCCGCTTTTTCATGATCACTGTTTAATTAGATGTAAATTGAAGCTGCAATATAACCTTGCCTTGCACTGCCTATCGATATATTGATTGCTGTGAGGGTAGCAAAGCAAAGAGGAGGAAGTGAGGGGTAGGAGGAAAACAACAACAAAGACAACGAGAGGAAGAGAAGAACCAACAGAAACCAGCTCTAAAAAGGATGATCGTTGTTATCTGCACGTGTAATGAAAGGTCTTGCAGGTAAAGTACCTTCAGAGGAGCATTTCGGGCTTCTGGGAATTCTCTTTCATCTAGTCGCTCCCAGCGCTGCATAAACTGCTGCACAATCAGGTTCTCAGGGTTGACGATCTGAAACCCTGAAATGTTGGCTCCACCAGCAAATACTTTGTCCAAGCTTACATTAGAAAAACCCTGAGATAAGACATAAGAGAAGATGCGAAGAGAGAAATCATGTCATTTGATTTTCTTTGATGTTTTTATTTTTAATATATATCCTGGGATAAGCATACAGAATATTTGCAGCTACTCTGGCAATCTGTAAGGTGCATTCTATTATGAACTCTGTGCCATATGAGAAAGCAACACATGTTTGCCACTTCACCTGGGCAAATGTTTCTCATCACACTTTGTAGTGTAACCTGAATCCAGAACACTTCAAGTTGATATTTTAGTTTGTGTCAGACCATGTAAAAGTCGAAATATTTTATTTGAACCAGCTGGCCTACTTTCATTCGGAATGCATCGCCATGTAAAATAAATAAATAAATAATCACTAATATGTTTCAAAAATGTTTGGTGCTCAAGCTGCCTTTAAATTTCTTTCTTCACCCTAGAGCCATGACACCAAACTGTTGCTTTTAATGGTAAAATTGCTGTTTTTTAAGTGCAGAACTGTGTCATGGCGTGCAAGGACATGTGTCCGAACGCTGCATAATCACATCTTCTAAAGTCTGGGAAAAGCAGTGGGGGATCAGCAAGTGAAAGCAGGGTCAGCATCCACTTTAAAACTCCAATGCTAATATCAAAACTTAATTAACATTTGTATCCCTAGAGTATGGTGGATACAAAGATGCTTAAAAAGGTTAAACTCCTTTATTTACTGCTTGAGATGTTCATTTATACTTAAATATGAATATAATCATTTCAGCAAATATGCAATATAGTCTTACTGCAGTATTGTGACTGAAAAGGGATGAGTAAAAAAACATAAGCCAGGGAATAAAAAACATCTAATACAGGCCTTTTTCCCCAGATTTAATACAGAAGCCTATAATCCATTTATTGTGAATGCACATTTGTCATAATGACTGAGACTGTGTCCCATCACATGCAGCAGAAGGCAGGTTCCACTCTGTCCCAATGGATCAGCTCACTTATTACTCACTAGATTGGCCAGAATGTAGTGGTAACCACGACTGTTCTTCCCCAGGGTCACAACCTATGGGAGAAAAACACTGATGCCATAAACCACCCATGAGATGAGAGCATAGCGACTACAACAACCTCTGTAAATGCAGTAATGTCCTGAGAGCACATAGGATGTTGAAGAAAGTTGAAACAAAGCAAATCGGCCTAAGAAATAACAAGAGAGTGTGGTTAGAAGAAGTGTTCATTAAGGAGAAGCTGATAATGAGAGAGAAACAGGAACATCCATGAACGTGCTGTTCACTTTGCAATCCTTCACGGTGCAGTGAGTCGTCAGCCCCCGTTAGACAGAAGGTAGAAATAAGAAAAAAAAAAATTTCAAAGGAATTTACAGTGACAGAGTAAGATCTAGATCTTGCTCTGCTTTGAGAATATCACACCTTTGGAGTATAACAGCATATTTCATCCCACGCAGGCTGTCTGAAAATAGTAAGTGGTGTTCTAAGCCATTCCATCACTATGGTTCTAACCATATGCTGCCTTTTATTCCAGATTGTCTTTTTCCTTTTGTTCTAGGCCTGCAGATAAATCCAACAGAGAAACTCTAAACTGTCCTGGTTTCTTTGTGCATTACTTGCCGGACAGGGTTTTGGACTGGGACTCTGGAGATCTGTTATTTATGTGTTCTTGCCGTCTGTTGCCAATGAACTTTAGATTGGCTGCCACGCAGAAAACCTGTCAACCATGTCTCGGTTTTCATCTGTGTTCTACAAACACAGCGACACAAGTTTACAGCAAAATCAGCATGTTTGCACATGTTCTGGCTCTCGTTCTGTCACAAAAACAAACTGTCAGTTTATCATCTGTGTGTGCATGTCAGGCCTGAGACACTGGATATTTGTTACTGAGGAT